TGGAAGTTTGTTCGAAACTTTATCTGAATTTCATACTGAATGGAGAATCGATCACAACTAAACGTTTTCTTTAAACGTTGTTTCGACGTTTTATAGACGTTCATGTGTTTATTGGGCAGTCGTAGCGATGCATATATATGCTGTTATAGCAACCATATCTAGCGTTGTTTGGCGTTATATTGTTTTAAATTAGCAGTCAACTCAAGTTCATTTTTACATTAGCTAAAAAGAAATTTAAATATGAGTAGCAAATATTTAAATATTAGCTATATTAAGGTTATTTGTGGCTTCACTACAAATAACCTTAATATAGCCAATTTTTAGAAAATTGTAAACAAAAAAAGAAAGAAAAATAAGCTAATTACATAACCTAAAAAAAAGAATTTACTAAAAAGTAATTTGTTGTTCAATTGACTTTTCAACAAATGACAAGTTATTTGGAACTTTTCCGAAGTATTGTGTTCAGTAAAAACTTTTATTTTGGAGGTAAACTAAGAAATTGCAATTGCTAGTTAGATTAAAAGTTAGGGAGATTAATAATAAGAAGAATTAAAACAAGTTCTATAAGTTCTTTGTTAATCATGCTTATCATGTTAATTAATATCATGTTAATCTATACTTTACAAATATAACTTTACTCTTCGTTTTATATCTGCCTATGACGAGAGAAACTTAAGTAGACTAAAAGATTGTCAAAAACTATTTGTGATCAACAATGACGAAACAATTAAGAAGTCTTTTTGGTTGACATTATTTTTAATCGAATGTAAATTTGCTGAGAGCATTAATTTTGAAGGCGGGTACAGACGTCCGTAAGACGTCTACACATCTTAAAACGTCTACACATCTACACGCCTTATAGACATCACAAGTCCATTTGATGCTCTTAAGACGTCCAAAAAAAATTCTATACCCGCCGGAAATGAAATCTCGCAGAAAAGAATTTGTATAAACTATTAGGAAAGTAAACTATTTCGTAATGCTTGTTTTCAGTAATATGCATAGCGTAAATATATTTTTAAATAACCAAACCATTGCAATAATATTAAATGTTTTTATTTTTTAATTTTAACGATAATTTTTAACCAAAGTAAACTTATCAAACTCAAACTTTAACTGTTTAGTGTTTTAGACGTACTTAATAGATATGATAAAAGACACATAAAAGCATTTATAAAACATATTTATAACAAATATTTCTAGGGGTTAATGTGACACCCCCAACCCCTGTTGCTTCCTTCTCATTCCCCTGAATCCCTCACGACGCTAAACTTCAATCCGCCACTGTGACTAGTCAATTAATTTAACATCAATATATTGAATTATACGCAATGCAAATATGACCCAGTGTGTCACACATCCCATTGTAACATCCATTGCTATGTTGTGGCAATGTCTATAACGTCTATAACTTAGTATTAAGAGTAGCCTAACGTTACACCAAAAAAGTAATTATGCACAGTTTCAAAATGGATGAGTATTGCCACCGCGACGCCAAAATAAGATCAATTTTGATGCCACGTTTGGTTTTCAATTATAAGTTAAATTACTCTGCTTTTTTTTCTTTTCTTTTTTTTTTTTTTTTTGATTGGTGCTGAGATCAGAAATGGTTGAGAAAATAGGATTTTGTAAGAGCCAGGTCTAAAAAAAATTTTGTTTATACCCAGCACTTGGGATCCCTTTAAGAATATCTTTGCATTTATAAAACTTTACTTTCGTTTTTATTATTTTAACCAGGGGTGTGGAGACGTAAATAAAAAGTAATGACTCCGACTCCAGTTGTTGAAATTTTTTGAATACAAGTCCAACTCTAAGTCTAACTCCGACTCCGACTACAACTCCGACTCTGACAAAATTTTTAAAAATTTCTTTGAATTCTTTAAAAAATATTACGCGATAAAATAAAAAAATTTTTTTGACAAATTTATCAAACGTTCTTTGAGGTTTAGTAAGAACATAAGGTTAATTGAATGTTTTGAAATGTCAGAGTCGGAGTTGCGACTATTTTAGCGGAGTTGGAGTCGCTAAACAAAATCGCGACTCCGACTCCGACTCCAAATCCGCTAAAATTGTCACAACTCCAACTCTGACTCCGACTCCTACTCCACAGCCCTAATTTTAACTTATTTTCAAACTTTTAAAATTGTTTAAAACATCTCAGTTTTGTTATCATTACTAAAACTTAAAAAAATTTCATACAAAAGCATATGATAATAGATAATATAAGTATCATTTAAAAATCATAAATAAAAATTAAGATAAAATATTTTATTAATAACAATATAAAATTTACTTTCTGAATTTTTTTTTGTAAACATCAGCAGTTATTTCACAGCCAATATGAAAACAATCTGTTTTAAAATTATTATCTAAAACTTTTTCAAAATTTATTTTTAAAAAGTTTTAGATAAAAGTTTATTATCTAAAAATTTCTGAAATCCATAATTCTTGTTTAAAACTTAAAAGATGAATTTTAGAAAGTTAATTTTTATTAATACCATAACCAGATTTTCTTAAACTTTGGGAGCGTTTTTTGTTGAGTGTATTAATTTCCGATCAGATTCCAATTGTCGCCAGCGCTAATTCTCCACCTTAACTATAAACACAGAGCACAATAAATAGATTTGTTACTTTCCAAATACACTAGATAATTTTGCCATATAAATTCACCATTTTGTGATCTTATTCAAAAAACACTTTTATTTAACTATCTTACCACATTAGCATAAACCTTTTTAGTTGAGAAAAATAGTACGTTTTGACTAACCCAATTATTTTTACATAATTATGCAATAATAGCTTTATCAGACCGTTGCCATGTAGCGAGATCAAAAGACTCTCTTTTGTTTAACTTACAAAGTTTAATATAGGGATACTAAGGGAACCTAAAAAATGAAAAGAAATCTTTACAAAAGAAACTTGATTTTATAAAAAAAGTCTTTTTATAAAATCAAGTTATTTCAAATTATTTCTAAATTCTTTTTATTAACAACGCACCCTGTTTTTTGTCTTTACTAATAAAATTTGGCTAATAAAGCTTGCCATATCGTAAGTTTGCACTTACGCAAGTTCGTTTCAATGCACGTTCGCACTTAAGCAGATTCGCAGTATGAAATTTGCACTTTTTCAATCGCTCTCACTACACATAACTACAAAAATAAACTTTCTGTAGTTTTTCATTGGTTAATTAAAAATTTTCTGTAGTTTTTTTTTAATTCATTGGTTTATTAAAAAGCAAAGTTATACCGTAATGATGGTCTCTGCAACATTTTCAATATAAAAAGTATGCCGGTTCAATAAAATGATGGGTAAATACCTATTTATGTGACATTTAATGATATAAATGTGATTTTTTATAGATTTTATATGTTCTAACTAAAATAGAACCATTTTGGGGGTTTTTGTTCAAAATGTTTTGTTTTTATTTCAGACTCAGACATATCATGTAGAAAGCAAAATTTTATAAGTCATTTTTAGCACTGTCAGTTTCTATCAAAATGATACAAAATTCATCACAACTTTTAAAACTGTATAAGGAGATAGAATATTTAAAGGGCTTTTAGAAGAAAAAAGAATGGAGCAATTATCTAATCATTTGGCTGATTTATGGGGCTTCAAAAACTTCTAACTAGAGAAAAAAGAGGAATTTGGTTAATAAAGTCATAAGGATACAAAAGTAAGTGCAACCAAGTTTTTCTGCTCTGATTAAAATTAATTTTCACTCTATTCAGGTTTTTAAAAATAGGTACTTTTGGTATAAAACTTCAAAAGTATTTTGTATTTTAGAATAACCGAAAAAAAGCTAATAAAAAAAAAGTTGCCATTGGTAGGAATCGCACCACGGCTTACTCGTTCAGAAGATCGGCGTGCTATCTACTCGGCCACATTGACACATTATTAAGCTAATATTTTTAAAACTATATAATGATTTTTTTAACGGAAAAAATGTTATAGATCAAAATTAAGGAGAGCTTGACGCAATGCAATTTTCAAATGAAAATTAAACTGTAAAACTTGATAAATGTTTCAGTATGTTTTAACATATGTTTTAACATTACTTAACTTAAAATTTACGTACGTTAGATATTTGCATTCACGTTTGTTCACGTTTTCTTATAAAACAAAGTGCTACAACTCTTTTTCGTCACTACCTTGGTTGCAACGACTGCCAAGGGTTCCGTCTCAAACAGGCTCGAAAGCGCGCACTATATATATATATATATATATATATATATATATATATATATATATATATATATATATATATATATATATATATATATATGTGTATACATGAAGCATATATATATATATATATATACATATATATATATATATATATGTGTATACATGAAGTATGTGTTTATGCATGATGCATGTGTTTATACATGGTGTATGTGTTTATATATGCATGTATGTTTATCAACATTTCGTCAAAAACCACGTAAATGAATAGTCTTACTTTTACAAAAGACCTGTTAAAATGATAGCTAATGTTTTAGAAGAAGTTTAAAATAAGGGGTTTTAGAGAAATACTCTAAAAACTTTCCTTTTATGAGAATCGGTTAAATTAAAATGACCAAATAAAACTTCCTAATAATGAAATTACTGAAGAAGTTGTCAATGAATATAGAAGAAGGAGTTAAATAAAACCGATTTCAATAATAATAAGAAATTACTATTTACTTGGAAAACTACCACAATAATCTCAAGAATCAACCGTGAGCAGACGTGGCGTAGTGGTTAGAGTTCTGGCTCAGAACCAAAAGGTCCAAGGGTCAACGCTGGCTGCAGTCCAATAAGCAACATTGATAAGAAAGGAGGCACGAAATTTCTAGTTAAATTCTCTTCAGCGGTGTTTTTAAGGTGCCAGAAGACCGTGAAGACTTCTGGCACCTTTTAAGATCATCATCAGATAATCTTTAAGATTATAAAGATCATAATGGTCTTCTTTTAGATATAGTAATGTAAGAGATTTCGAATAAAATTTTTATAGAAAATTTTGTTCTTAAATTTTTTATTTCAAGAAAATTTATTTACATATATTTAATTATAAAAGTATTAATACAAAGTTTAAAATAACTAACAATAATAGAATACAGTATTATTTAAAATGCGTAATAAGAAACTATAAATACAAATAAAGTAAGAGTTAAAACTTTTAAACAAAAAGAGTAAATATTAAAAATATGAATGAAAAAATAATAATTTAAGTAAACAAAAAAATAATAAAAAAGCAAGAACAATAAATATTTAGCAATGTAAAATATATCAACATAATATACATCAGATCATTGTATTTAAATCACATCAGTTCACTGTATTTCAATTTCTAAACTTTATCGTTTTGATGGATTTCTTTCTTCTCCAACAAAACTATGTCATTATCAACTTTATTTTTGTGATGAATCTCGATGGCTCCGATATACAATAGAGCACCTAACACGCCGCCAGTCAACTGCGCAAGAATTGGCGCCCAAAAGTAATAGTTTTGATAACTAAATTAAAATATTTATTTGTAAATGTTTATTTCCTTTTTTAAAAAAATGAGACTGAAAAAAAAAATTTTAAAGAACTGAAATAACGAAAAGTAAATGCCATGGCTTTAATTCAGCGAACTTAGATATAAAAAACAATTTATTAAAATAATTTACGTTTATTTAATTTTATTCTAAAAATATTTAAGTAAAATAATTTTTTTTTATGCATGGTGTGGTATGAGATTTTTACCCCCTGAGTAAAAACCTCACCTAAAGTATAAACTTTGTATTGAAATAAATGAAATGGGTAGGTCATAGGTTTAAAATTCGTCAATTTTGTTTCCAATTACAGCCAGTTTCTATTGATATATATATATATATATATATATATATATATATATATATATATATATATATATATATATATATATATATATATATATATATATATATATATCAATAGAAACTGGTTTGGGGTACTATGTTTCCAGATATAAACATGAACATACTAACATTTAGAGTTACAATGCCTGAAAGTGTCTTTACTAAAACATCAAAAAACTCTGCTTCGGCTACTGACACATAACAGCACATTTAGAGCTTTGGTTAGAAAATTTAGTTTCTAGCATATTTTTTTTAAAGTTGTTAAATATGCTACCTTTACATATAGTTATGCTTTATAAATATATACCTTAATGCAGCTAATTTCCACCCAGCAATAGCCGTAAAAAGTCGAGGAACAAGGTTACGAGCTGGATTAATACCATATCCACAATTAATTCCGAAAGAAAGCCCAATTCCAAATACTACTAATCCTATACAAAGAGGTAAAGCATTTGGATTCGGTGCATTATTACGCTTATCTGTCAATGCGAAAATAATCCCAACCAAAAGTGCGCTACTGACAAGCTGAAAATAAAAATTAAGAATAAAAATTTAAAACAAAACATTTCTGAAGCAACATGAAATTTTTTTTTTTAAGTTACCTGGTCAACAAATGTTGTGGCTGTAGAAACACCAGCACTGGGTCGAGTTGTCCAGATAAATGCCGTATCAATGCTCATAGTGCCGTTTAGTCTTATGTTATCTTTCTCAAACTCATATAACAGATCTGTAAAAAATTGTCAATACAACAGGATACGGAAATCACGGAATGCAAAAAAAGTTTTATACGTATATAGTAAAATCATAAATTTGTTACCATTATAGACTCCAAATATAACTGCAGAAGCAATAAACGCACCAAGACTTTGTGCAAACCAATATAATGGTAATTTTTTCCAAGGAAATCTCTTAGTAACTGCCAAAGCTAATGTAACTGCAGGATTAATGTGTCCACCTATATATATATATATATATATATATATATATATATATATATATATATATATATATATATATATATATATATATATATATATATATATATATATATATATATATATATATATATATATATATATATATATATATATATATATATATATATATATATATATATATATTTCTAATTTAATTATTTATTTTGTCATTTACAATATTTTCACAACATAAAAATTTAGCGATTAAAATTTTTGACCCGAGCTGTCAGAAAACAATATCTTATTATCCAGACCCATTAGTTTAACTGAAAAATACAGCTGATAAAAAAATAAATAAGAAAAGGGCCATCCATAAATGATGTCAGTAAATAGAGGGGTGGAGGGGATGCTGAAAAGTTGGATAATAATTTAGAATGAGGAAAGGTGTGTTGAGACCTTAATGATGTGAATTTTAAAAAAACTTTTTATTTTTTTTTAAAGTTTATAACTACAGCATCTATTAGCAGGTTTTAAAATCGACAGTGGGTAGCTAAAAATTGACAGTTTGACGAAGGCGAATCGATAAACTAGAAAAACCACAAACATCATTTATAGGCGCCCCAAAAAAAGAACAAGAAAAAATTTTTTTTATAAAAATCTTAAAGAATAAAAAATAAAAACTTAAGACAAGATTAACATTAGACATATGTGACGCTTATTATAATCTTAATGTTTGCGAAGACATTTTTTGTTATTTAATTTTTTTGCTAAATAAATGAATAATAAAAATAATAAAATAAATTTATCGTGTTACATGTTAAGCAATTTTGTAACATAAATAAAAATAATAAAAGACAAATGAAATATGGTATCAGATCTACAAATTTGACATGCTCTAGATTCTACCCAGACATACTCTATATTTACAAATTAATATAACAATATATATATATATATATATATATATATATATATATATATATATATATATATATATATATATATATATATATATATATATATATATATATATATATATATATATATATATATATATATATATATATATATATATATATATATATATATATATATATATATATATTGAAAAATAACGCTTTTTAGTTATAAAAATGTTATAACATAATCAATCGTTTTAAAAGTTGTTTGTAGGAATAAAGGTAAATTACTTAAACTGCGGATGTGACACCCATCAAAATAGCTAAATTTTTAATGTATTATATTAGAACATAGAAAAAAACCAGTTGCGAAAAAAGATTTCTTCCAAAAATGTTTCGGTTACTAGGAATCCGGGTTCGAAATTTTGCAATTTTCCGAAAAATTTAAAGGGATTCAGTTTTTTACCATTTTTGTACCTTTTTTGGCAAGGCTTTACTTAACTTTTGTAGTTAATACCAGATGTAACCCAAAAGCTCGCTCTTAAATATATAAAAATGTTTTGTGACACTGTGCGATTAGCTAATTGTCATAGCTAGAAAGTACAAAGTTTTTCTAATATTAATTATTTTAAACGGCAAACAGTTGCACTTTTTTTTTCAGGGGTCATATGAACACTTAGTATTGATATGTGCAAAATAACCCATGTGATACCGATGGCCTATCGAAATATAGGGTCTTCTACTTGAGAAAAAATGATATACTATTCGTAAAAAATGGCTGAGACGCTAAGTTATATGAAAATATAAACATATTAAAATGTTCATATAAGATGGCCCTAACATGATATTAAAAAAAAGTTATGTTATCTAGAGAAATTTAGTAAAAAACAAAGGTACAAAGGAGTTCCAACTTTTCAAAAATTATTTTGAAAATATTTTTTGAATAAAAAAGTCTTGAAGACCATGTTGAGTAATTAAAAAATAGTTTAAAATTTTTTAAAACTTTAAACTTTAAAGTAAACTAAAGAGATAAAATACTTTTAAAACTCTTGCGATTCATATATAATGATAAATTATATTATAAAAATTTGAAATTTTTTTAACTACGTTAATATTAATTCTATTTATAATTTTAAAATTGCTGCAAAGTGTTTTTCAAAAAAAGCAAATATTAAGATTGATGAATACTGGGCAAATATTTACCATTCAAAACGAGTTTTGGTCTATAAAAAAAAGTTTATTAACAAATGACAATAGATATGCTACTACTCAATTATGAGAAAACCAAATAAGGAGAAAACTGACAGTTAATAATATTTATTAACAAAACATCTATACCATCCTTCACTTTGTGTTTAAATAAAAAAACAATTCGGTTCTAAAAATATTTCATACTTTCGTGAACTTATCGATCACAAATAAAAAACAAACATTCTATCCAGAAATTTTATATTTCAAAAACTTCTTTAAGGCAATATAAGTTTTCAATATGTAGAAGAGGACCACAATTGTGGAACTTATTTCTGACAAATGATATTAAAACAATAAACTCGATTTCCATTTTAATTTACATTTTAAATGCGTTGTTAAACAGTTACTTGACTTCAACATTACTGAAACAATCTCTTATTTTTAGAACTTTTACACATCTTGAAACATTTTTATGTATACAGTAACTGGTAATGTTTATGTTTATATTTATAAAAACTTAGCTCATTATTTTTGGTCTACAATTCTGTTTGCCTCAGTTATATCTTTTACGTTAACAATATTGTTAAAAAGCTATATAGACAAAGAGGGAAAAAAATAAATGAAAACTTAAGATAATATATATTTTAAATGATAATATATAATTACAGAAATGAAATCAAGAAGGTAATAATAATAATAGTATAAACAGAAAGGGAATCAACTCAGGTATGGATAATAAATCGTGGCATAATACAACTTGCTTATGTTACAAGATATTTTTTTTTGCATGAGAACTGTTTCTCTCTATATAACTCTTTTCTAGTTATTTTATAATAGACCTATAATTCAAGTTATTTTATATAGCCTCTATTTCAAACATATACATTAGTTACTATTTTAAAACGTTGTTTAAAACAACATTAGAAATATTAAAAAAACAAAAAATTACTTTGAATCTCAAAAACAAATACTAGATGCATTTAACTGTTTTTTTGTTTATACAATGATTTTATAATAACAACTAGTTAAAATAAAATTTTTGTTCGTTGTTAACCATGGGCATGAGTCGGCCGGGGGACATCTGTCGGACGTTATACGGATGCCTGAACGTCTGCAATATGTCCGCTGGACGTCCCCAAAACGACGCGTGCCCACTAGGGAAACGCAAATTAATATAGTACAAGTTTTCAGTATCTATTTTGATCAACGTTATTTTTTATTTACCTGATACTCCTGAAGACCAATATAGACCAAACATGACACCAATAGCCCACCCAAAATTTATTGATAAAAATCCGCCAAATTTTCCTTTTCCAAGAAAAGTTTGAGCGATACTTCCTATTCCAAACATCTATTAAAAAAATTATAATTCAATAAAAATTAAAAAGTTTACAAATGAAAATGATTAAGGTTGTAAAATGAGTAATAAAACAGTAAAATAAGTATTAACAATCAATTTAATAGTCATCTATTATATAAAATAAAATTACAGATGAGATTTACAGGTTAAATATCAATAAATAAAATATTTTAAAAACAGACGAGGACTCAAGAAGATAGATAAAGCAATATCACGTCAATCTTTTCATAGAGCCCCTTAATATAATAAGGTAAATATAGATATAATAATATAATAAGATTAATATAATAAAATATTGTCAAAAAGAGTAATAAAAATCTATTAAAAATATAAAACTAAGAAAATAAAATAATATAAAATAAACTAAAGATATAATAAGAAAGCAAACTATTTTTACAATTACAAAGATATTCTGCAATATCTATATTGCGAATTCATGTATTCAAAGGTTTTGAAATAAATACAAACATATACACAAAGATTTAATAATTAATACATTAAAAGACATATATCATTAGTAACTACTAAGAATAATAAGTAAAATTTATTTGAATAAATTTACCAAATAATTTTGGAATTATTATTCCGCAAATTAAAAATGTATTTTTTTGCTTGAAACTTAAACAAGAATAAAGATTTTACCATATTTGCATTAGTTTTTTGAAAAGAATTCCATTACTTAGGTCTTCGATATGCTATTGAATATTTTCTATATTTATTAAAATTCCTTTGCAATTTGAAGGAATTTGATTAATTTGTTCTTAAGAAATACTTTTAGTTTACATTTTTCTCAAACTTACAAACAAAATTAGCTGGAGTTTAGTTATTAATATAATTATACAATTAAAATTAGGTGCTGATAAAAATTTATTTTGTATACATTCATCATTTTTATATTTCTCATTCGTGTTTAGTATGCTTCCCTCTTTTTTTCCGTAAATAATTCTAAACGCATGTTTTTCAAGCTGAGTACTTTTATAAGTTATGGTTGCACTACCCTTATGTTGGTTGTGCACTACCCAATGTAATAGTTATGTTGGTTGTGCACTACCCAATGTGCACTACCCAATGTAATACTAGCATAGTTAATGAAACAATAAGTTTAAAAAAAGTATAATAACTTTTGACGCACTGTATTTACATATGGACGAACTCGGTACATCAGACCAATGGTTTTACTAACTTTTGATTATAAATATTTAATATTGGGAAGCCAAGATAAATTATTATCAACAAGTATTCCTAAAAACTTTATATAGTCTTACTTTTTCATTTGTATTCATTTAAAAATAGGTCCGATAATTTAAGGGGAAGATTTTCTTCTTGCATTTTTTATGAAATAAAGTATACTTTGTTTTTTCAACGTTTAAAGAGAGTTTAATCGCCATAAACCAGTCATTTATCTTATTTAATTCAAAATTCATGTCTGCATAAAGTTTTTTGATACTATCGTTGGAAAGAAATAGATTTGTATCATCTGAAATCATAATTTAACTTTACTGATACATTATTTAAGTTATTTATATAAAATAAGAATAAGAGAGGACTAAGTATCGATTCTTGCGGTACTCCACATTTTAGGTTGATGCTAACTGGTAGTGTCCTTTACGTGTAACCTTTTAGGAATATTTTTTTTTTGAAACTTGTGATTTTTTTTTTAAACTTGTGATTATTTTCTGTTACTTTAGTTAGAGTATTAAGAAGTTTTTAAAGTTTTATAAAATTGAAGTAAAAAAAAGCAGACACGTGACCAAATGACAGCCTTACGAATTTTACATTTAATTTTTATTACAAATTTTTCTACTTATAAAATGATAAAACAAGCATACTGAGAAAGTATTATTGCTTCATAACTGATAGTTTTGAAATAGTTTAGGGTTTTCAAAACATTCGCCATCCTCCCCCGTCTTCCCCCTGCATTTTAGACAAAACTATGTCTACGTAAAATATATACTTTTTACACATTTTCTTGAACTTTACAAAATGAAGGCTGTCATTAAATTTAGAAAACCTAAAAACGAGGGCTTAACCATATCCCATTGAAAAATTTTGTGGTTTAAGCAAACCTTTCATAGAGTGCTCCTTAAATATTTGAGAGGAAACGGAGTCAATATTTCAGCATACAACCTTATCACAAATTAAAATCTTTACATATAAAGCTAATCTTACCAACAATATAAACGTCCCCATAAACTCAGCAAGAAAATCGCGAGTATATTCTGAAGCAAACACTTTTGATAAAAATTTAACCATCCTCTCCGTTTTGAAATTTTAAGAGATACTTTTAATGACTTTCTAAAAATAAGACAATTGCAACATTAAATTTATGCAAATGTATTACAAAACACAAAATGAAAAACTAATGCAAGGAACCGTTTTTTTAATTTAAACAAACTTTTTTTTTTGGAGCTATAACTGTACAAATGATCGAAATATGTTTGACCCAGTTATCGATGAGATTTTTCTTTGATTTTTAAACAAAACTACGTAAATCACACAGAAAGAAAACACACAAGAATTTCCTTTTTCACGCTGTGACTATTTTTTATGCATGACGGAACACACATGACACTTGTTGGAAACACGCAAATAATTTTTATTCATTTAAAATACTCATACTCAATCCATGCTAACATATGCACGAAAGTTAGTTAAAGATTTTCTTCTTGTTTTACAGCTTATGTGTAAAGCTAAATATGGACTTCCGCAAAATATGTTTTAACACTATTTTAATGTAGTCAACCATAAATGCTCTAAAAGAATTTTCGAAATCAACTGTTTCGTTTCAAAGTTTCATTGAATTCTCAATCGAGGACTTTTTTGTGAGAAAAATTTATCAAACAATATTTCTAATAAAATTTTATCAAACAATATTTCTAATAAAAACATCTTTAACTATTTTAAATCGAATCTGAAAAATATTCATTATTTACAGATCTTGATATTTATACAAAAAATAAATAAATAAAAATAGTAATGATCGTATAAATAAATAAAACATTCTTAAAATAATCACTGTCAAAATCAAATTCACATTATTTATTATTATTATTATCATTTTTTTTTTTTTTTTGACGCATTTTCATTATTTGGTATTTCCTTACCAATAAGTTAATCTATATAGATTAAATTTTAATATTCAATTTCATTATTATATAAATAATAATTAAAATTTCAACACGTTTTTAGCCTTTAAAATAGAAAACTATTTACAGGCTACATTAAAGATACTTTCGCCGATCTTTCAATTAAGTTTCTGCAATATTAACTTTAAATTAATAAAGTTAAAAAAAGCAAGCAAAAAAAAAACAAAAAAACTTTGTTGCCTTTTAAAATTTTCAAACAAATTTTCTCGCTCGCTCTCTGACGCTACTTGACAACGGACATTTTAAACTGATTTTTCACGTTTTTGTAAAAATTTTAAAAATTGGTAAAAAAAAACTGATTTTGATCTTTATCTATATATCTTTATATTTTTAATTTATGTTTATAATTTTAATATTCATTAAGATAGAGTTTAATGACTGGAGTGAAGCGTTATTATTTTGTAAAACATATTTTGCTATATATGTCCTAAGAAATTATTTTAGAAATTTTATATTTTTGTTTTTCCGATTGTTCCATTTTTTTTTACTCCGACTGTGTTTATTGTTTTTGTTATATATTTAAAAGGTTTATTTACAGAAAAAAAAAACAAAAAACAAAAAAAAACTCATATGTATATTTATATGGTGTTTTCAAAGCTTTGAGTTTATATATATTTAAAATTCTCCTTTCAATAAAATAAGGCTTGCAATGAGAAAAACGATCAGCAAAGTTATTTATGCAAATTGACATTTTTTATTTCCTTAGCAGAATAAACTGTGAAAATTTTTTCCTAAGCATATGAAAAAGATTCCATTTAGTTTTATTAATATTAACTGTCAACTTACTCATTTTGGAGGAGTGGCATAAATGTTTTTTTTTTTCATTTACAGTGAAAAAAACATTACTCTTAAAAAAGAATAAATTACTATAATCTGCAAACATGGCGCTCAATATATTAGTTGCTTTATTTAGATTGTTTATATAAATTAGGGAAAGAAGTGGTCTAAGATTTGAACCTTGTAAACTTCTACGTGTTGTTTTGACAATTGTTTTGATAGCCGTCATTACAAATAGCTAATTATTTTCGATTTGATAAATAACTTCTAAACCAGTTTAACACTTGTTTATTTATTTCAAACTTTTTTTTAAACTTCTTCACAAAAATTTGATTTTTATTCTCATTTTTCTTTTTAATTACAATGGATTTATATAAGTGTGTGTATGTGTGAGTGCGCGCGCGTGCGTGTGTAGATATTGGTGATATGACAAACGCGTCTTCTTCTTGTCGTTACCATCTTTATATATTTTATTATTAGAAACTAGTAAGTATTATTTTAATGGCTAAATAAATGAATTTTTGATACACCTTTAATTGTAGGGTAAGTTTAACAGTTGCAATTATTAAAACTTCAGAAAAAGCTTAGCGCTACGTCGTTCTCCAATAGTTTTTGCTTCAATTTGTTCTTAAACTCATTAAGCGTAGCAATTGCTTTAAGTTCATTAGTTAATATTTTATTCCATAATTTAAGCCCTCTAGTAGAAATTGAAAATTCAGTTGCCGCAAAATATTTTATTTTGAATAATGGGTAAAATATTTTAGAAGATATATTTTTATTAATTTTGAACATAAATATAAGAACTTGATAGACATTTAATTGATAAACATTCATTATATTTAAATAAACAAATAATGCTTGGGAGTGCGTATAACGGCCCACATTAGAAATTATTTCGATTGTATGCTTTTGTTTATTAAATAGTTTTTTTATTTGTTCTGCACCAAGCAATGTTTGCGTAATTAAGATGGCAATGAATGAACAAGAAATATAAAAGCTTTAAGCAAGTTGGATTTAAAAAAGACTTTGCTCAACAAAGCAGGCCTATGTTCCTTGAGATTGTATTTTTGAGATATTGTATGTGATCTCTCTACGTCACATTTTAATCAAGAAGCACGCCGAGAAATTTTAAAGTGGTTCCTTTTTTTATGTCCTTATTGGCAATACAAAGTTTTGGAAGTTTTAAAGGAATTTTATCTCGGGCATGAAAACGATGAAAATTTTTTGTTTGTTTTGGTTACATTTAGAAATAATTTGTTTGCATTAATCCATTCAGTAAGATTTAGTAGCTCTTTGTTTACTGACTTAAACAGAATATTGATATCATTATGTGCATAAAACAGACTTGTGTCATCTGCAAATAAAATTGTATCTAGTTCAGCACAAGCTTTGCTTAAATCATTCAAAAAAAAGAGAAATAAGAGTGGTCCTATATAGATCCCTGAGGAACCCCACATTTTATGTTTATATTGGTCGTTTTACCTTCATTATAAAAAATATATTGTTTTCTATTTGACAAATAGCTTTTAAACCACGCAATATTTACATGTTTTTATTTTCATCAAATGATTTAAAGATATCATGAACATACATGACATCAAGCAAATCTATTTCTGTTAGCATATTATTCTGTTAGCATATTATTGTCCTTTGTATTATTTCTGTTAGCATATTATTGTCCTTTGTATTATTTCTGTTAGCATATTATTGTCCTTTGTATTATTTCTGTTAGCATATTATTGTCCTTTGTATTATTTCTGTTAGCATACTATTGTCCTTTGTATTATTTCTGTTAGCATATTATTGTCCTTTGTATTATTTCTGTTAGCATATTATTTTCTTTTGTATTATTTCTGTTAGCATATTATTGTCCTTTGTATTATTTCTGTTAGCATATTATTGTCCTCTGTATTATTTCTGTTAGCATATTATTGTCCTTTGTATTATTTCTGTTAGCATATTATTGACCTTTGTATTATTATTAGAGTTTAGGTATGATTTAAAGCAAGTTTTACTTTTTTTTATTTTTATTTTTTTTATTTTTTATTTTTAATGCTAAACTTGGACCTAGCAAATGCATGGTCAAACAAATTAGCAATTATTATGTCGTTAATAATTTCCACTCTTTTATAATTAGTTTTTTTAGTAAACAATAATATTTATATATATTTTTTTACCTATAACCTCTTTTATTATGTTCCGAGTTTTTTGTATATCATTTTTGTATTTTAGTAATTGGATACTACAGTAAAACTTTTTTGAGCGTTTTACAATCGTCAAAAAAAGACGATTATAGTTTTTATAGTTTGTTTCATTTTTAAAAGTTCTTTTTTTAATGAACTTTTCATACAATTGTTGCTTTTTTTTTCGAAGACTTTATGATTCCAGGTGTTATCCAGGGATTTTGTAGAGTTTTTGTTTTAATAAATTTAGTTGTTATTGGGAATGCTCTATTGTAGTGACATTCAAATATATGATAAAATTTTTCATAAACTTTATTAACATTTATTGTTTTCAAAACAGATTCCCAGTTTGTCGTCGGTAAAGAAGTGGTTATAAAGGATTGAAAAGAATTTAATAATCACGTGAAGAAGTGGTTATAAAAGATTTGAAAAAAAGTTAAATCAAACAAAAAAGTTGAATCGCGCAAAGACGTATAAAAGAACCAAGAAGTTGTTAAAAATTGATTATCAAAATGCTACAAACCTGTCGTGCTCAAAATTGTTTAAACATAAAGGACAGTAAAGTTTTATCTTAACCACTTCTTTTCATTTTTCAAGATTTAACTTTTGAATTCTTAACAACCATTTTGAATAAATTAAGGGCTAAACTGTTTATAAGGAAGTAAAGATGATTTTTATACGGAAATAGTCGTTTATTTCTTAATATTGTTAACATTTTACTTAAAAAGATACGCACTAATTGACGGTAACTTACCGTTTATAAAATGCAATTAGGTACTTAGAAATAAAAAATAGCGTGAAAAATGTTTAATTAAAAAAATAATTAACGATGTAATCGCTAATTAAATTCAAATAAAAAAAATAGTTTAAAGGATTTTTTAAAAGTTTTTTTTTACCACGTTTTTATTAGCTCACTTTCTTGTTTGTTTGTTTGTCCGGTTGGAATTTTGCAACTCAATTTTAACCCACTTTTCGATTAGCTAGAGCTCTGAAACTTTTACTATAGCTCAGAACCCGATGACAATGCAATATTATACTACTTTTACCATGATTTGCCGAGTTTCTTGAACGATTTCAGCAAAATAAAATTTATTATGGCGAAACTTTTGGAAGCGTCGCCGCAATTTGACGCGTCGTTTTAAATAAAAAATTTTTGAACAAAAAAACCAAATTTAACTGTCGCTGTGATTTTAAA